GGGAAGAAAGGGAAAAGCCTTCCCTTCTGGAGGTCTGAGGCTTGGAGGCTTGCAGACCAACTAACAAAGGTCAGGGGGTCAGGACTGCCTATGGGAGGCTTGGAGGTTTGGTGGTCGAGGCTGCTCTTGGTTCTGGGGATCTAGCTCAGGACAAGGTGGTCTCAGGACCCCTTTCTGGTGTCAAGAGTGTAAGTAAACTTGTGTCCACCTTTCACTGTGCCTCGATGGATTGTCTCCCTCTCTGGGCCTGAGTACTGTCACTGGGCTTTTCTGTTCAAGGCCAGTGCTCCATCACTTGAGGTATAGCTAGCTACACTTTGGGCTTTTGGGAGGTTAAAGATAAAAGACTCACAGACTACTACCTGGGCTGGCTTTGAACCTTGGTGCTCAGGTCTCAGACAGCTGAGTAACCAGGATTACAGGTGTTGAGCCACCAATACCTGGTCAGATTTTTTTTTTTTTGCAAGCCCTGTGGCTTGAACTCTGGGCCTGGGTGCTGTCCCTGAGCCAGCTGAAGGCTAGCACTCTACCATGTGAGCCACAGTGCCACTTCTGGCTTTTTTCTTAATAGTTTATTGGAAATAAGAATCCCATGAACTTTCCTGCCTGTATTTGCTTTTGAACCACCATCTTCAGATCTCAGCCTCCTGAGTAGCTAGGATTACAGCGTGAGCCACTGGCACCTGGCTCAGATACTTGATACCTCCCCCCTGCCCCCAAATAAGTCATGTTGGAAAGAGGGAATATTAGGAAGATGAAAGTAGAACTCTTTAAAATCTCTTGAGGCAACTGTAAGATGAAAGAAGGTAAAGAAAAATTCACGTGTTGAATAAAACAACCTGTACAACATCCAAACAGTACCAACTTCATGAGGCTTCCTGAGGACTTTTCTTAAACTCTTGTTAACAGTATCAGTCTTTTTAAATTGTTATGATGATTATGTACAGAGGGATTACAGTTACATAAGTCATGTAGAATACATTTCTTTTTGGATGTCACCCCTTGCCTTGCTGTTTTCCCCTCTCACCCCACCCACAAGTTGTATAGCTTATTTTCAACATGTGTCTAGTGAGTACCACTGCTGCATGTGTTCACCCTTTGTCCCTCCATTTCTGTGACCCACCTTTCCCTCCCAAAGACAGATAAACTAATTAGATAGAAACAAAACCAGCCACAAAGGAAAAAACCCCATTTCCATTTCCTGGAGTTCATTTGGATAAATATTACATGATCAGATGCTTGCAGGCTTGTGCCTTTGAGTTCCTAAGAGTATCCTACTTTGGTCTGTGTGAATGCCTACAATCCTGTATATCATGTCACAGTGTATTTTAGATCTATCTTCTGTGTGAGAGAAAACATGAGCTGTTTGTCTCTCTGAGCTTGGCATATCTCACTTTACATAATTATTTTCTAGGTCCATCCATTTCCCTGCAAATAACATTCTAATTGCTGTGTAAAATTCCACTGTATATAGGTACCACATTTTAGGGATCCAGTTATCTACTGTAGGGCATCTGGGCAGTTTCCATAACTTGGCTATTGTGAATAATGCAGCAATGATCATGAATGTGTAAGTACTTTTATGGTATCCTGGGTTGTAATGTTTTGGGATGCCTAGGAGTGGTGTGGCTGGGTCAAAGGGAAGATCTATATATATATATATTTTTTTTTAATTGTAAAGCTACTATACAGAGGGTTACAGTTACATGAGTGAGGTAATGAGTACACTTCCTCTTGAACATTGTTACCCCCTCCATTGTTTTCCCCCTACCATCCCCTCCCTCCCTCCCTTCCCCGAGGTTCTTTTTTTTTTTTTTTGATTGTGATTAAATGATTACATAATTTCAAAGTCACAAGTTCATTCTAACTTCCCTGGAGCAAACTGTCTACCACAGTCTGTAATATATAACAGTGTTCACATGTTATATACCATATTTGTAGATCTATATTGTTTTGAGGAAACTCCAGACTGCTGTCCAGAGTGGTTGCACTAGTTTAAATTCCCACTGTACAATAGGGTTTTTTTTTTGCCATATCCCCACCAATATTTGTTGTTGTTTGAGTTCACAATATTTGCTACTCTAACTGGGGTGAGATGGAACCTCAGAGTTGTTTTGATTTGCATTTCCTTTATAGCTAAGGGATATTGAACATTTCCTAATGTGGTTCGTTGCCATGCTTGCCTCTTCTGAAAAGTCTCTCCTTAGCACTTTTTCCCATTTAGTGATTAGTTTATTAGCTTTGGGAGGTGTTTCTTGAGCTTCTTGCATATTTTGAATATTAGGTTTTTGTTTGATGTGTTGCTGGTACAGATCTTTTCCCAATCTGTGACTGTCTTTCTAGTTTAGTAACTCCTTTGCTGTGCAGAAAGCTTTAATATTGATTTAATCCTATTTCTCATCTCTCTCCTACCTGCTGTGTCCTTTCAAAAAGGTTTCTGCCTATGCCTACACATTCTAAAGTTTCTCCTAATCCTTCTTGCAGTGATTTCAAGGTTTCAGGTCTGATGTTGATCCACTTTGAGTTGATATTTGGGCATGGTGACAAATTAGGGATCCACTTTTAGTTTTTTGCATATGGACGCCCAGTTTTCCCAACATTAATTATTGAAAAGATTATCTTTTTTCCTCTCTTTGCAAATATCATATAACTGTAAATAATAGTGTCAATCTTAAAAACCAAAATGTTCTTTAAATATCTCCTTCATTTTGGCAGATGCAATAAATTTATTTTTGCCTGCTAACAGTGTATAAGGTAAAATGGACAGAGGAATGGTAGAATAATTGTTTACTGACTGGCAAATTTTGATATACCAATATAGTTAAACAACTTAAAATTTTTTCATGAGACTGTCAAAGCTTGAAAGCTAGGCCAGAAAGTCACAGTTTAATTACTGTTGTTCATTCAAAAACTTTTCTCAAGATGCTAAACATTCATGTTCATATTATGATTTTCAAAAGTATGGACTGAATTACTGTCATCAAAGCATTGTGGCAAAGGACACACATTCAGTAGCCACAAAAACGAAGTAGAACAGATTACAGGACAGGATCTATCGGAGAAAATAAATAACAGAAAATACATTTTCAGTATAGTGTGCTTTTGTCTATTATCATGGCATTGACAATTGTGTAAAACAGTAATGAGGGAAAAGGACGCTTATTGGAAATTATGATAATGATTACTAAGGGGACAACAATTTTATTATGACTTACATAATTCCTGTTCATATAGTTTAAGTAATATGGTATAGTTGACAGAGCCTGAAAAAGAACACCTCATATATTTAAAATACTTTGACCAGATTGAATATAGGGAGATTACCCTACTAAGCTAATATTATGACAAATGGATATTCTGTCCTCAAGAAAATTAGTTCATTTAAAAATCAAAAACTAAAAAATTCAAGCTCCTACATAAAAATGTTCATCACAGTCAATCTGGAGGCAGAAAGATTAGTGGTTGCCCAAGGTTGGAGGATTGAATAGTATTCTTTCCTCTCAAATTCATCCCTACCTAAAACAGTATGTGACATCATTTGGAAATAGGGTTGTTGTAAGTAGTGACTATAATAGAGATTGGTGGTGGTAGTAGTGTGTGTGTGAAATCTAATTGGATGTTGTCTTTATGAAAATACAGAGTCAGAGACCATGTGATACAGCTGGAAACTACCAGAAGCTAGGGGAGAAGTCTGGGAAATTTCTGACTTGGGGCCACCAGAAGGAACTAATCCTGCCGACGCTCTGATTTAGGATACCTGGTCTCCTGAACTGCAGGGAAAAATCTCTTGTTAAACCACCAAATTTGAGGTACCTTGTTACAGCAGATCTAGGAAATTAACACAAGGGAATTGCTGAGTGCTGAGTCCAGGCTTTCCTTTGAGGTGATGACAGCATTAGAAAATTATGGTGATGACTGAACAACTCTATGTATATACTAAAAACTACCCAACAGTATAAATAGGTGATTTGCATGGTTATATGAATTACATGTCAATAAAGTTGCTTTAAAACTTCCTTTTGAATAAATAAAACTGATCAATCTGTTTTAAGTTAAAAATATTTAATATCAGATAAAAACATTGATGACAATTTGATATGACTCATTCTACATGTAGTGAAAAGGGCAAACACCACTAGGAAAGTAATTGAGCTGGTAAACAATTTGTTGATCACATAACAGATGAAAGATGACATAATTTAACTCAAAAAGATTACAAAACCTTTGGAGACAACTGCATTAAATATTTCTTGTGTGATCTTCCAAGGGACAAGAAAACATATATATATTTAACTCATACAAAGTTCAAAGTTGCTAGGTCCCAGTGGCTCAAAGCTACCTAGGAAGTGGATTAAAACTCTAGGCCAATTTGGGGGTGAGGGAATGGATGCCTGTCATCTCAGCTATGTGAGAGGCTGAAATCAGGAAGATCAAGGTTCCATGCCAGCCCAGGCCCCTACCTCCCAAAAGTTTTGGAGACCCAATTTCAACAGAAAAAAAATCAGGCATGGTTGTGTAGGCCTGTAATCATAGCTGTGCTGAGAAGCATCGGTAGGAGATTTCAGTCCCGGCTGGAGTGAGCAAAAAATATGACCCTATCTTAAAAATAACTAGAGCAAAAGGTCTGGAAGTGTGGCTCAAGCAACAAGTGCCTGTCTAGCAAGTGCGAAGCCATGAGTCAAAATACCTTATTACTGCTAAAAACAAAACTTTAAAGTCAACACTGATTGTGGTGGAACTACCAGTGCTTTTCAAATGAGCAGTGCTTTTCCAAGAAGCTTCCTATAAATAGTTTTATCTTTTACTGGCTAATCATTCTTATTATGAGTGGATTTTATTTAACTGAGGACTAAAGGCATAGAACATGTTTTTTTTGAGGGGTAGTTGGGTGCAGCGTTTGAACTTGGGGTCTGGGTGTTGTCCCTGAACTTTTGCTCAAGGCTACCACCTTGAACCACAGCTCCACTTATGGTTTTTTGGGGTGGTTAATTAGAGATAAGATCTTATGGATTTCTCCTGCCCAGGCTTACTTCCAACTGTGATCCTCAGATGTCAGCCTCCTGAATAGTTAGGATTACAGGTATGAGCCACTATTGCCTGGCCAGAACACTTTTTAAACGAAATAAAACCATATATATTAATGTTGGGAGCTAAGCTTAACATTTATGTTGAAAATATAGGTTGGATTAAATACATTTTATGGGGCATGGGTATGGTTATAATTAAAAAAGGCATACATTTGGCACTAAATGAAACAAATGAAGATGAGCAAAACTAGGTGACTGTCAACTGCTCCCATCTTGAATACAACTCATATACTATTTCTTAGTTCCTTTGTTTGTTGTTTTTTGGGACAGGATCTTGCTATGTAGCCCAGGCTGACCTCAAACTCAGGATCTTCCTGCCTCAGCTTCCCAAGAGCTTCTTGGATTACAAGCACCACCACATCTGGCTTACTTCTTAGTTCTTGATTGACTGAATAAAGCAGACAGACTTAACTACAGAGCACGTATATGACATAGGAATATAGAATCTAGAGCTAAGATGAGGCTGTTTCACTGATGAGCATCCCCCACTCTGCCAAATCAGAAATTTGTTTAAGAAACTCACTGAAAAATGCTTATCATTTTCCAAGTTTTCTGGCTAATATGTTCTTGGGTAGGTAGCCAGTTAAATATCATTTTTGAATTAAGTAGGAAATCCATATAAAAGAAATATTTTATAGGATCTTCCTTCACTCACTTGAAACTTCCTTTACCAAAATACCAATCCAGAACTTTGTAACCAAAACTCTTGGAACAAAGCCGTGGTGGTTATATTTTTGAGTCTCTGCTGAGTTTTCAAGTCCCCTTGTTTTTCATGTTTCAAGAGTCTCTTCATTTGCTCCACAAGTATCAACCACACAAATTAAACAACTTGTGACTGGAAAAGCACGGACTTTGGAATTGGCTATCCATTTATCTGTCTCAGTATTATATTCCAGGATGTGTCCTAATCTGCCTACACCTTGAAAACCAGCCAAGACATAAATGATAGAGCCAACTGCGGCACACTTCACTGTTACACCTTTCCATGGCATTGGTGATACCATCTTCCACTCATCTAATTTAATATCATAATATTCCACATTGTCCAAACCACCTGCAAAATAAGAAAACATCAAAAATTATATGAATAATCTCAAGGTCACAGTCATTTGTGTATTTTTCCAGTATCTAATTTTCAAAATAAAAATTTTAAACACACAGAATGGTTATAGGAATCTTAGAACGAATACCCAAATGCCCACCAGCTGAATTTTTATTCTTACATTAACACAATAGATATTTAATCTATAATTTTAAAAATTATAAATACTGATTTTTTTGTTAACATTTAAAATATTCTACCTATGCTGGAAAAATGAAAAACTTAAGCTAGTGGGATTTCTTCTCTGAGTAACTATGATTATAATTATCTAAATATTATTTTCTTTCTGTATTTTGCAACTCATAGAAAACAGAAATGGATGAGAATGACAGAGAAAAATTTTTTTTAACTTAAGCTATTTGTACTTCGTTGTACTAAAATGATGCTACATTTTCTGATAAAATAAAACTTGTGAATTTCCTTTAAACATGCATTTCAGATTTCCCATTACTTATAACAAATATTTAAGACTTCTAGGATGCAATTTTCTAGGAAAAATGTAAGATTTAACTTCCATTTTTAAAAAATAACACTATTTTCATGCAATGTTTAAATGTTCAGAAAACTTGGCTAATTAGAACTTGAATACAAGGGCTGGGAAGGTGGCTCAGTCGTAGAGCGCTTGCCTTGCATGCATGAGGCCCTGGGTTCAATTCCTCAGCACCACGTAAGCAAAAAGAAAAAAGCCAGAAGTGGTGCTGTGGCTCAAGTGGTAGAGCGCTAGCCTTGAGCTGAAGAGCTGAGGGACAGTGCCCAGGCCCAGAGTTCAGGCCCCACAACCGGATCCCCCCCCCCCCCCCCCAAAAAAAAAAGAACTTGCATACAAGACCTAACTAAAACTTCTCTTTTAAAAGTTTTTTTTGTAACACGTTGAAAAGCTAAAACAATTTAAGATTCAATCATTTGTTCAGCTTAATAGTTCTAAGCTGGTATGATACTATTCCTTGGGGGACACATGGATGATGAGATTGTTACAATGCCTGGTAGCCACTGCTGACAATTCATAGACATGAATGTTTAATATCTTCACTTTGGAATATGTTGGTGCACAAACCCTTGAAACAGATACAATCATATACATGGAACAGGATTATATTTAAATGTACTTCAAGAAATACTTTAAAAAATTCAAAATAATAAACTATCAGTAAACTTATCAGGACATTGAGTTAATATCATGTACCTAAGCCATTCTGGCCACCCACAGCAAATATCTTGTCTTTTACAAATACCAGCCCATGATTCTTCCTGGGCTCAATCATTGGACATAGTTCAGTCCATCTGTAAAAAGAAAAGAAAGTTTTTACTTTGCTTATTTACAGGAAGTAAAAGGACTCTAATAAGAAAATGTTATTCCAACTAAGTATTTACTACCATGTCACGTGCATATAAAATGTTTAGAAGTCCAGAAAAAGCTGAAGTGATTATGGGTAATTTTTTTTTAATAGATGAGGTACATTTGGGACCTTACTTCTTTTAATTCTGGCAGGAGATGGGAAACAGAATGGCCTTAGTGGTACACACTTATAACCTCAGCATTTGGGAGGTAGAAGTAGAAGGATTGTGAATTTGAGACCAGTCTGGGCTACATAGTGAAACTCTGTCTCAAAAACAAAGACCATATAAAGGACATGAACTCAGGTCTTGACTCAGCTTGCTTGCTCGCCTGACTGGCTTGCACTCCCTCATCACTTAAGCCACACCTCTAACCCTGCTTTTTACTATTTTTTGGTAGGTGAAGTTTGTGGACTTTTCTGCCTGGGCTGGCTCCAATCTTTTTTTCTGGACCTTATTCTTTTGACTAGGTAGGATTACCACAAGAGTCCCTGGTACCCGTCTAATATGTATTTTGTATAAATCCATTTCTTATATTTTATAATGGCAACAAAAGTAGAGGAAGATAATTCTGTCACATGTAGTTTTTACTTAATATGTATTAGTAAACAAACAACAACCTAAAATTAGCCTCAATTATCATGTTAGTACCATTTGTTATTATTCATACTTTTTGTTGTTATCAATGTATTTTTTCAATAAAATCTTATTATGTAGTCCAGATTGGGAGAATTTGGGATCTTTCTGCCTCAACCTTCCAAATGCAAGGATTATAGGCATATGCCATCACAGTAGGCCTTGATAAATCCATGTTTAGATCTACTATGAAATAGTTTTTTAAAAGTTTTATCATTTTGTCGAGTTTAATAACTTGTTATTGATATGTTCCAGCCACTATCACAAATAATGAAATTGAGAGTATAAAGGTGGATCTAAGTGTCCAAGGATACTAGTTTCACAGGTAATATTTCATTAAAAACAACTGTGTTGGCCATTTTTTTTTTAAATTAATCACTACTTCTGTATACACTCTCACGATTGACTCCTGTGACTGTGAAAGTACTGCAACCCAGGTGCTCATAGTATGCTAACACATACTAAAAGACAACAAAGAACAACAAAATGGAAGCAGCTGGATGCAAGCAGCTCACGCCTGTAATCCTAGCTACTCAGGAGGCTGAGAGCTGAGGATCCCAGTTTGAAGCCAGCCTGGGCAGGCAAAGTCCAACAGACTCTTATCTTCAATTAATCAGTAAAAAGCTCTAAGTGGTGCTGTGACTCAAATGGTAGAGAGCCAGCTCTGAGTGAAAAAGGCAAGGAGAGCTTGATGCCCAGAGTGTAAGATTCCTGACATGGAAAAACAACAAACAAATGGGGAAGTACTTCCTGGGAAAACCAGTAAGTACTAAATCTCCACTGTCTCTCCACATGGCAAGATGTCACTACGTAGAAAATACTATTTGGGGGCTGGGAAAGTGGCTCAGTGGTAGAGTGCTTGCCTTGCATGCATGAGGCCCTGGGTTCGATTCCTCAGCACCACATTCACAGAAAAATCTGGAAATGGCATTGTGGCTCAAGTGGTAGAGTGGTGGCCTTGAGCTGAAGAGCTGAGGGATAATGCCCAGGTCCATAGTTCAAGCCCCATGACCAACAACAAAAACAAAACGAAAGAAAATACAATTTGGCTTGGAAAAATTCAATTTACATGCCACCTTCTTCTCTAAATATGTCAATGATTTAAAGCAAGAGCATGTTTTCTTTCTTCTATATGTATATGTAGAGTATGTACTTTGCTCCTGCTTATCAACCTGAAGTTTAGTGTTTAGAAACTTTTCTTAAAATTAATATTGCTCAAACTGTCATGTGGAGACCAGGTGCTGGTGGTTCATATCTGTAATCCTAGCTACTCAGGAGGCTGAGATCTGAGGATCACAGTTTGAAACAGCCGGGGGAAGGAAAGTCTGGGAGACTCTTTTGCTAATAAACTACTCAGAAAAAGCCAGAAGTGGCACTGTGGCTCAAGTGGTAGAGCACTAATCTTGAGCACACACAAGCTCAGGGACAGAGCCCAGGTCCTTAGTTCAAGTCTCAGGACTGGCAAACAAAACAAAACAAATCCCCCAAACCCAAATAAGAAATGTACTCGTTATCTTGCCCATGTAATTGTAACTCCTCTGTACGGTATTCTCACAATAAAAAAAAAAGAAGAAAAAAAAAAACTGTCATGTAATTTCAGAGGCTTAATTTCTTAGTTTCCAATTAAACAAATAATGCCAAAAAACTTAAAGAGTCTAAGTTTGGAAATTTTTTTTTCAAAAATAACAAGTGTTTAAATCACATTTTGCTTTTCTTTCTATTGCTGGGGATTGAACCCAGGGCCTTGAGTATGCTACACAAGTGCTCAACCACCATGTGACATCCCTAGTGAGACATCATTTTAGTAATGAAATCATGATATTTAATGTTTTAGAATTAGAATTTAGAATTATTATATCCACTTAGCTTAAGAAAATTTAAGGATAAAAGACTATATAGAATTCAAGTTTAATACAAGTTCAATATAAACAAAAGAAATAGTAAATTGAAAGATTTTTTTTTTTGTGCTGGTCCTGGGGCTTAAACTCAGGGCCTGGGTGCTGTCCCTGAGGGTTTTAGAAATATATTTTAAGGGGCTGGGAAGGTGGCTCAGTGGTAGAGTACTTGCCTTGCATGCATGAGGCCCTGGGTTCGATTCCTCAGCACCACTATAAGCAAAAAGAAAAAAAAAGCCAGAAGTGGCGCTGTGGCTCAAATGGTAGAGCGCTAGCCTTGAGCTGAAGAACTGAGGGACAGCACCCAGGCCCAGAGTTCAGGCCCCACGACCAGACCCCCCCCCCCCAAAAAAAAAATATATATATTTTAAAATTTTCTTTTGTTCACGGCTAGTGCTCTACCACTTGAGCCACAGTTCACTTAGAGCTTTTTGTTGGTTAATTGGAGTCTTACAGACTTTCCTGCTGGGCTGGCTTTAAACCTCAATCTTCAGACCTCAGCTTCCTGAGTAGCTAGGATTATAGGTTTCAGCCACTGGTTGAAAGTTTTTACATACTCCTGAACCTGAATATTCAGGTAGATTTTTATTTTTATGATAATTTAATTTTTAGTTGTTATTATAAAGGTGATGTACAGAGGGGTTACAGTTACATTAAGTCAGGTAAAGAATACATTTCTTTTTGGACAATGTCACTCTTTCTCTTGCTCTTTTTCCCAGTTTTTCCCTCCTACTTCCACCTACAAGTTGTACAATTCATTTTCAACATAGTATCTAGTGAGTACCACTGCTGCATTTGTTTGCCTTTTGTCCCCCACCTTCCCAAAGACAAACGAACAAACAAGACAAAAAGAAAAGAAAACAGCATCAAATGAAAAACTTTAAAAAATAAGCTCAACTTTAAAGTCTTTTCTTTAAAATTTATGTTTATGTAGTACTGAGCAAACCCAGGGCCTCATGCACGCTAGGCAAGGACTCTACCACTTAGGCCACCTTCCCGGCCAGGAAAAATAACTTCTTGTTTCCCTGTCCTGGATCAGGTAGAGGATATAGAAACCTTTCACACATTTTCCCCCCCTGCTAGTATACACGAACATATGATAGAAACTGATACTACCTGAATTAATATCTTAAAATTTAGAAGCTTAGGTTACTGGTTACTGGCTACACTTTCAAGTTTGTTTTTTTAGAAATGAGGAAACGGTTAGTCATCAGTATGAGTCAGATTATAGCTTTCCAAGTAGTATGCTGTAACATGTTTTGAGCACAGGGCTTATAGGAAGGAAGTGAGGTAGAGGTTCCTAATGGAGGGAGTTCAGCTGCTGTGCCCCCATGGTTTGGGACAAGATGAGGGTGTATATATATCTATATCTATGTCTATATCTATCTATCTATCTATCTATCTATCTATCTATCTATCTATCTATCTATCTATCTATCTATCTATCTATCTATCTATCTAAACTAAAACACAGGATAAGGACAGAGGTATCCATAGCATGAGCTCTGGCAACTACTAGGCATACTCTGAAAACACTGGGAAGCAATATATCAAGAGATTTCTAGTTTCAACACTTTAGCAAAAGATAAATAACAAGGAATGTTAACTTGCTTCTCTTCCTTGGTAATTCACTGAACACAAAACAAAAATATCCCCCAAAACAAATAAATTAAATTATACTTTTATTATGCTTCCTTAAATCCTTTAAAAATAGATGGAGCTGAGCGCAAGTAGCTCATGTTTTTTGTTTTTTGTTTTTTGTCAGTCATGGGGCTTAACCTCTGGGCCTGGGTGCTGTCCCTGAGCATTTCAGCTCAAGGCTAGCATTCTACAACTTGAGACACAGAGCCACCTCTGGCTTTACCAGTAGCTTATGTTTTTAACCCTAGCTACTGAAAGCTGAGTTCTGAGGATTGTGGTTTGAAGCCAGCCCAGGCAGAAAAGTCTATGAGACTCCTAAATTAACCAACACAAAGCTGGAAGTAGGCTAATGGTTCAAGTGGTGGAACACTAGTATTTAGCAAAAAACAAAAAAAACAAAAAAACCCAAAAAAACCTCAGGAGAGTGTCTAGGCCCTGAGTTCAAGTCACAGCACCAAAAAAATTCTTTTTTTTTTCAAAGTAGGGGAATATATCTTTTTTTTAATTGTGAAAATACCGTACAGAGGGGTTACAATTACGTGAGCAAGGTAATGAGTACATTTCTTATCAAGCATTGTTGCCTCCTCCTTTGTTTCCCCTTCCCATCCCTTCCCATCTCTCCCCTTTCCCCCTCCCCTGAACGCCAAAGTCGTAAAGTTCGTTTTTCGACATAACATCTTGTACATCTCATTGTTGCAATGGGTCCACCTGTATTCCTATTTAAACAATTTGTTTTTTCCCTTCCCCTCCACAAAGTATACCAACATCAAATACAGTGAAAACAGGGGTTATACTGTGGGGGAGGAACATACCAAGCAACAAAGAAATCATCTTATAAATGTGCTAGAAACAATTGCATAAAAGAAAAAAAACATTTGAATACATATCTTAGGGTTCATTTCACCTAACATCAACTTATCTGACTGTTTCTGCTTGTCTCAGACATATACTAGTTATTGCAAATAAGGGAAACCATGGGACCTATGTTTCTTCAGGCCTGGCTTACTTTACTTAATATAATTTTCCCAAGTCTTTCCATTTCCTAACAAATAGGGCAATGTCATTCTTTCTGATGGGGGCATAGAATTGAGATATTACTTATTTTATTTCTGAATTATCTTTAATGTCACTGCATTCACCAATACCCCATATTCACTGATTAACAAATTTGGTTACATTAAATGGGCTCCATAACTACAAGGTTAAACTATTTCTTTAAAACACTAATAACTGTATAGTTCTTGGAAACCATTTTAAATTTAAGAAGCTAATAACTTTGTATAGTTCTTGGAAAAGATTCAAAAAAAGATCTGTTGAAAAGATTCATTGGTAGTTTAACTTTTTTTAAAAAAAGCCAATCCTGGGGCTTGAGCTCAGGGCCTTGGCACTGCCCCTGAGCTTCTTTTGCTCAAGGTGAGTGCTGTATCTCTGGAGCCACAGAACTACTTCTGGCTTTTGGCTGGCTTGGAACTGTAATCCTCAGATCTCCTGAGTAGCCAGGATTACAGGCTTGAACCACTGATGCTTAACTTTTAGGAAGAGAAACTGGTCTGATTTCAAGTGATAAGCTAATACTCTACCAATTGAGTAACACTTCTACTTCCAGCTTTTTGGTGATTAAATGGAGATAAGAGATTCATGGACTTTCTTGCCTGGGATGGCTTCAAACTTCTATCCTCAGATCTTAACCTCCTCAATTGCTAGGAAAATAGGCCTGAGCCACCAGCGCTCAGCTCAACTGAGCATTTTGCCTTTTATAAAGCAATTTTCAGCTACTAACTCAGGAGGCAGAGGTAAGAGGATAAGTCAAAAAAAAAAAAAGAGGATAAGTCCAAGGCCAGCCTGGCAAAAACACAAGATCCTATCTGAAAGATAAACTAAAACAAAAAGGAACTGGGACATGTTAAGTGGTAAAGTACTTGCCTACCAATTATTAGACCCTGATATTAACCCCTACTACTTCCTAAATAAATGTTTTCTCATATGATTTAAGAATTTTAACATGAATCTAATGATATTTTAGGAAAATCCTAAAGACAATATTGTATCCAACAAGAACATGATATATTAATATCATAAACCAATATGTTATATTTCTACTTAAGGAAAGTTTACTTCTGATTATTAATTTCCTGCTCACTCCCCTTTTATTTCCTGATCTCCCAAACAAAAATGTTTTATAAATTTGATGAATCAATCGGGTATGTTGTCCAGATATTTATTGCATAAGCAGAACTAGAAAGAGAGGAGTTCCCATAAAGTCAGGGCATGTCTGAAGGTGCAAAGGAAGAGTCCAGGTTGTTCAAGTGAATGTACATTTTTAATATAAGAACTAAATGCTTGAAATGGGTCCCTTCTACCATTTTATACTTTATGCAACTGAACTCATAGAATACAGTAACAGTGAACTTAGAACTTTAAATTGATACATACGTTTCTGTGGCAGGATCATACACTTCACAGGAACTAAGCACTCTCCCAGAAACATTATTCCCTAAACTTCCACCACAAACGTAGATGAGGCCATTGGCTTCTACCATGCCATGGCTGCAGCGCTGCGTCAGCATGCTAGGCTTGGTGTGCCAGCTTTCAGTTCTTGTGTCATAGCACTCAAATAAATACAAAGCTGAATTTCCTGTAAAGAATGAGACCACTTAGGAGTCTGAGGTAGGAGGATTGAAAGTTTAAGGCTATCTCGGGCTGACATTAAGATCCTTTCTCAAAAACCAGAAAAAAACCTAAACAACCAACCAACAAAGGAAACAAAAGTAACAGAAAGAAGAGGGTTCCATAGAAACTTGACTTACTGTGTATGTGGGTTAGGAGTCAATAAGCAGAGCTACATCATAAGTTATGGGAGGGAAAAATTTAGGAGTCATTTTTATGTTCAATGAAAATGTAGTAATACTTTAAGAAGCTAAAACTCTGTATAGTCCTTGGAAAACATTCAAGAAAACATCTGTTGGAAAGTTCCTTGGTAGTAAACTTTTAGGAAGATATATTGGTCTGATTTCAAAAGTAAAATAAGAAACATTATGTAGGTCTTGGAGTCCAGTTATAACATGCTGAGAATTATTTAAATTTCAAATATATATTATATAGATTGGAAAACCATAGCTAAAACATGAAAATTACTAATAGTATTCTGAGGCTTATTTAATATATTATTTTTGCCAGTCCTGGGGCTTGAACGTGAGCCACTAAGCACTGTCCCTGAGCTTCTTTTGCTCAAGGCTAGCACTCTACCATTTGAGCCACAGTGCCACTTCCAGCTTTTTCTGTATATATGGTACTGAGGAATTGAACCCAGGGTTTCATGCATGCTAGGCAAGCATTCTACCACCAATTCACATTCCCAGCCCCTTAACTTACTAGTCTAAAAGCTATTTCACCTCTGCCAAAATCGTAATTGTGATTTTGCGATTGTGTTCTTAGTGACTGGGTTGGTAAGCCCTGAAGGATACCAGTCCCTCCTTTAGTGGAAGTCCCTAGGAAGTCTCTACATTTCTGATGCATATTGACTATACATTTATGTTTTGCAACTTTTTCACACTGTAGTAGCTCAATAGAAAATCTTAGCAATCATACTATTAAAGATCACTTTTCCCTTTCCTAATAAAAAGGAAATTAGTATTTTGCCAAACTACTTTTTATCTTTCACTGTTAAATACAGCACTAAGACATCTAGAGCTCTTCACTGCAACCAATGTATATGAAAAGGTTCAGAGAAGACAAATCAAAGCAGCAATGACCATAATGAAACAAATCTTTTTGATTTTGTAGATTCAAGCTGGTGGATACTAGGGGAAAACATATTGTATATGGAAAATATTAAAGATCTGCTGTTAGCCAGTGTCAGTGTCTCTTGCCTATAATCCTAACTATTCAGGAAGCTGATATCAGGAGGATCACAGTTTGAGGATAACCTGGGCAAAAATATCTTTAAGTTTCAATTTCCAAAAATAATTAGCAAAAAGCCAGGCTAAAGGCATAGTGCAAGTTGTAGAATGCCAGCCCAACAAGCAAGCTGAGCAAGAAGTAAAAAACAAAACAAAACAAAAAACAATACAAAACAACCATACAGAAGTCCTCCTACTTAAGTAAAAACTTAATAATATAAAGATCACCTCAAGTTAAATTTAGATTAAATTTTAAAAAATCATCATTTTTCCTGTATTCATTTGACATGTAGTAAAAGGTAAAAACTTAAAACACATCTGATTAAAAGTAAATAATGTTCTCGGTTAATATAAAAATCACAGAGCAAATCAGGCACTGGTGGCTCATGGCTATTCCTAGTTATTCAAGAGGCTGAAGAGCTCCAAGTCAGCCCTCAGCCAGGGCAGGAAAGTCCATGAGACTTTTTATCTCTAATTGACCATTCAAAAAGTCAGAAGTGGAGCTGTAGCTAAAGTGGTAGGATTCCAGTGAAAAAGCTAAGGAACAATGTACCCAGACCTTAATTCAAGCCTCCATATTAGGATGGGGGGAAAAGGGGTAAATCACAGACCAAGACATTGTGGCTCACACTGAAATCCTAGCTACTCAGGAGGCTGAGATCTGAGGATCATAGTTTGAAGCCAGCCTGGGCAAGAAAGTCCATGAGATTCTTATCTCCAATAAAATACTCAGAAAAAGCTGAAGTGGCATTGTGGCTCAAGTGGTAGAGTGCTAGCTTTGAGTACAGAGAGCCTCAGGGACAGAGGCCTGGCCCTGAGTTCAAGCCCTAGGACTGGTGAAAAAAAAAAAGCCACTTGAGATAATAGCTCAGCAGGATCTTTTTTGTTTGTTTGTTCATTATGGGGTTTGGACTCTGGGCCTAGGCACTGTCCCTGAGCTCTTCAGCTTAAGGCAAGTGTTCTACCACTTGAGCCGTAGCTCACTTCTGGTTTTCTGGTGGTTAACTGGTGCTAAGAGTCTCATGGACTTTCCTGCCCAGGCTGGCTTTGAACCGTGATCTTCAGATCTCAGCCTCCTTAGTATATAGGATTACAGGCGTGAGCCACAGCCTGTAATCTGCCAATAGCAGGATCTTAACTTAAGGCTAGCCTGGGCAAAAAGTTTGAGAGACTCACTTAAACAATAACAACAACAAATAAATGGATGCAGTAACACATGTAAATAGGAAGATATCTGCCAGGACCGGCCTGGATGTAGAGAGTGCTTGAAAAATAACAAAAGTAAAGTGTTAGGCGCATGGTTTAAGTAGTAGAGTGCCTCCTCAGCAAGTGCAAGGTCCTGAGCTCAAAAAGCTAGTACCACTAAAAAAGAAAGTTAAAGGAAGAAGAGGTGTGGATCTAGTGGCAGAGCATCAGCTTGAGAGAAAAAGCTAAGTGACAAGACTACAAGGCTCTGAATTTGGGACCCAGTACCAGCATACACACGTATTAAAAAATTAACATATTTAAATTCCATAGCTAAGGGTTTACTTGATATTCTTAGTTCTTCTTAATAACATTATGTAATTAACGGAATAACTTGAAAAGATGAGAGTATATTAAAGCTACTATGTGTCTAGTCTATACCTAGAATATTCATTGAAAAAAACATTTATTTAGCAAAAGACTATTGGATACTTACAAATGAGAACCTGACCTGACCCATAAGCATAAATGACCACATAAATCATTAGATTAGAAATGTTAAAGAAAGCAAATGAAAAGGTATTACTGAGCTGGGCATAGTGCCTGCACAAGGAAGGCTGAGGCAGGAGGATCAGGAGTTTAGGACCAACCTGGGATACATATTGAAACATTCAACACATACATATTGACAACAACAAAACCAACAGTTATATCTTTCTTCTAATACAAAGAAACATAAAGAAAACAGATTTTAAAAGCTTGAGTATATAGGGTTTTTAAAGGGTCTATAAGTCTAACCTAGCAAATAATACTAACAAAAAAAAACAAAAAACAAAAAACACCCAAAACACTTCCCAACTACAATTCAGATAGTGCCAATTGTTATAGTCCCATAATAAAAGTGGGCAATTAACAACATATGAAGCAACAGTCTTGTAAATTAGTAATTTACAAGGATTAAGGTATATCTTCAACGAAATGGGCTCTAATATGTTAGATATGGACTTATCTGGATAAGATCAATTTTTATTTAGATGTGAAAGTCAAGCCAGCTGGCTTTAAAGAGTTTCCTTTGAACAAAAATATTAACAAGCCTTACCTACTTCTGAGCCTCCAGATGTGTAAATCTTGCCTTCTGCAGCACAGGCAGCAAGACTATCTCGAGGTGTTGGAGGGCCCAGTTTGGAATACCAGCTGTCCTTCACAACATTATAGCAGTCCATTCGTTTAATGGGGAAAAGCTGAGAGCCACCCAAAATGTACACTACATTGTCCCAAAATACACATGCTGCATCTCTTCGCTTTTCAAAGGGGCAGCGAATGTCCGTCCAGCTATAGTCCTAAAGCAGAAAGGAACAACTTTCAAAAAGGGAAAATGAAACCAGAAAAGACAGCATTGGTAGAGAAAATGTACCAAAAATAGGACAAAGGGTGAACAAATGCAGCGGTGATCCTCACTAGACACTATGTCAAAAATGAACTATACAACTTGTAGGTTGGGACAGGAGGGAAAAACTGGGAGAGCTCCAGGTAAGGGGTTAAAAAGAAATGTACCCTTTATCTAACTTATGTACTGGAGCATCTCTATAGACCACTTTTACAGTAATAAAAATTTTTCTAAAACATAAGTCTTACTAGAATATACAAACATTTGGTTTGAGACTGTACTCTGATTTAATCTGTGATTCTTCAGAATTCTAGTTGAGGCAACCGGTAAAGGAAGGACATGGTTACTCTGTAACTTTCATAGCTTTGAAGTAAACTTAAATATATTTGGATATGTCTTCTTTGTGAAGATTATATATAAGAAAAATTTAAGTCTTTTTAAATTTTAGGTTTATTGTGTAACAAAATATGAGATTTACTTTCAGATATAAAAATGGATATCTGGTAGATAAGTGGATAGGTAGGTAGGAATCAAGGTGAAACTCTTATCTCAAATAAACTACTAAAAAAAGCTGCAAGTAGAACTCTGGCTAAAGTGGTAGAGCACTGGCTTTGAGCAAGAGAAGCTCAGGGACAGTGCCTAGCCCCTGGAATTAAGCCCCACCATCAGAAAAAACAAAAACAACTAAAACAAAAACCAAAAAACCCAAAATTAACTTGTTACAAACTCAGTTTAGGAAGAGATTTAATCAGTGATTAGGAAAAATATGATGTAGTATTTATTATATAATATCATATCCTGAGTTTAATCAGTACTACAGACTGAACGTAGGGCCTTCTGAGTACTAGACAAGTGCTGAATTACTGAGCTAACCACCCAGACCAGGAAAAACTACTCTTGTGGCTTAACTTCAACAATAACAGGATAGCTTGATTTAAAAAAAAAAACCTTCTGCATTGTTGGGGTAGGAAACTGGATGTGCTATAGCAGGCTGCTTGATAAAATTAGGTTCAAGTAGTGACAAATAACATATAAATGGTTATTTCTCAGCTATTAATGACTAGAGAAACCAACTCCAAGGGAACTCCTGAGGATCACATATATTTCATCAGGTCATAAAATGTTCTTTCTTTCCCTACTCTCAAACTAAAACCAAACCCAAACTTTAACTCATCAGAAATTCAAGTATAAAATAAAAACTCAGTGTCAAAGTGAAACTTCACCTAAATATAATCCTTGAAAATACCTGAGCAGAAATATATCTTAAGGAAGAATTCTCATGTTAGCATACTGTCAAGTTATCTTCAACATATTTGTCTCTACTAACCTGTGATATGTAGGTAGTTTTTGTTTTCAATACTAGGGCTTGAATTTAGGGCCTTATACTTAGGAGGAGGCACTTTACCTCTTGAACCATGCCTCTAGCCTCTTTTGCTTTAGTTGAATTTTGGATAGGGTATTGTGTTTCTTACAACCCCTGCCACAGAGCTGGGACCACAGATGTATACTATTAGGCACAGTTTGTTGGTTGAGACAGGTGTCTTTCTAACTTTTTCCTACACTGTCCTCATCTCAAGTCTCCCAAGCAGCTAGGATTAAGTTGTATACACATGGATTGTGAAATGTAACTTAATCTTTAAACAGTAGAGAATATTTCAGTTTAAATCACATCAAATTCCAGAATGTGAGAACATACTCATTTAAGAAAATGTTCTCACCAATGAAGTTCATTGTGCTCAGAAGTGTAGAATATAAAAAATAATGTGGCTAGCTCTAGAGAGGTTAAGGGAAATAAAAAGATGTTAAGTCTGTATACACTTACATATGGAACCTAAGGATGATAGTGAGAAACTGAAGAAGACCAGAGATATGAAAAACAATTGGACAAAAAGAATAGATATTTACACAAATAATGAGAGTTAAACTTTTTGTTTTTAGACCAGGACACAGAAGGCTAGAACTTGCCTAAACTCATAAACCTATATTTAAATAATTCTCTCTTTTTTTTTTTTTTTTACCAGTCTTGGGGCTTGAACTCAGGATCTGGGCACTATTCCTGAGCTTCTTTTGCTCAAGGATAGCACTCTACCACTTGAGCCACAGTGCTACTTCTGGCTTTTTCTGTTTATGTGGTGCTAAGGAATCAAGCCCAGGGCTTCATGCATGCTGGGCAAGTACTCCACTACTAAGCCACATTCCCAGCCTTAAATATTCTTTGTATAATACAGATACTTTGCTTTAATAAAACCAAAGTAAAAAGGCCCAAAAACTGATCTCAGAAAAATGATCAGCACTAGCTGGTCCTTCAGTTCTTTTACCATGTCTGATTTTTATACATAAAGTCAAAAGCTAAGGTGAATTCCATTCAGTTAAATAATATTTTGATAGCTTTTACTTTAGTGTATTATTATAAAGGTGATGTACAGAGAGGTTACAGATACATAAACCAGGTAAAGAGTACGTTTCTTTTTGGACAATGTCACTTTTTCTCTTGATATCTTCCAGTTTTTCCCTCATTTTGGGAGCTTTTATGAAAAAGTATGATTACACTTTTCAAGCCAGAAAGATATTCTCAAGTCTTTTCTCTTTCTTTCATTCAAACTCTGCAAGTCTCTTAAAAAAATTTCCATGAACCCCATGAAGACTTCCTGGTTTGTTGACAAATCCAACCCAGAAGCTGTCCTCTTTTCACATTAGCACTGTGTACACATGTGAGACATTGATTAATTCAATTGAGCATCCCATTGACCCTCATCCACTTTGTACTCACTGCTTCCTGCTTCTATGTACATCTCATACACTCAAATTGTGGACAGAACTATATTATGTATGCATATCCTTTTGTGGGTACCAGACTACAAATTTCAAATCAGCTGTGATCCTGTTAATATATGCTAAAGCAGTCTTTGTTTAAACTGATGTTTTTACAACCAGCTAATTATAGAATACATTATGTCATAAGCTAAGGGTAATTATTTTGCATGCTTGCATTACCAATTTTCAAAGAACATAATTCATATCAAACACAATGGAATATGATTTAGTACTTCTGAGCAGACAGGTCTTATTGTGGCTCTGGGACATAATAGGACCAATCACTGAGGCTGGATAGACAGGAAAAGAAAATTAGTATTAAAAATATTAAATGAAGTAAGCCAGAGCAAAAGAAACATAGGTCCCATAGTTTCTCTTATTTGCAATGATTAGTATACATCTAAGATAATCTTAGCAGATGAGCAGAATAGCTCAATAGCTACATACATATGATCATATAAGATGATGCTAAGCAAAAATGAACTCCAAGACATGGACACAAGAGGTTTTTTTGTTATTATTTTTAATGTACTATGTGATTTCTTGTTTCTTTTGTATGTGCTTCCCCCTATGGTATATCTCCTGTTGTCACTGTAGTTGATTTTGGGGAAAAAAAAAAGGGTCAACCTAGCCCAGCGGTGGTGGCTTATACCTACAATCCTATGTACACAAGAGGCTGAGTGCTAAGGATTACAGTTTGAAGCCAGCCTGGGCAGGAAAGTCTGTAAGATTCTTATCTTCAACTGACCACCAGAAAACCGGAAGTGGTGCTGTGTCTCAAAGTGGAAGAGCACTAGCCTTGAGCTGAAGAGCTCAGGGACAGCAACCAGGCCTGAGCTCATGCTCCAGGATCAACAAAAACTAAACTAAAAGGGTCAGTCTTAGAAATTAAAACCAAGAAGTAAGCTGAAAAACAAAACATCTTTCAGATGTTATAAGCATATGAAAACATAAAGGGGTATCTAATTCTGCCTTCTTTGGAATTTTAAAAACCTCCAAACTCATCTACTAAGGAGTAAGGAGGGAAAATCTCAACTACTATCCATTTTGGGTAGATCTAGAACACATTTCCATGTCTTAGAATAGTAAACAGCACCCATTGTACCTACCCCAAATTATTGTCTTAACATTCAGGTGTATTTCCTCAGTTTAAAACCATAAAGACCACAGACAAGAGCTGTCACTTTGTCTTTATTTTCACTTCATGTGTGGAAAAAGTAGTTTCTCCCTTTTTAAAAAAATTTCTCCCTATTTTATTTTTTTGTCAATCATGGGGCTTGAACTCCAGGCCTGGGTGCTGACCCTCAGCTCTTCAGCTCAAGGCTACTGCTCTACTTCTTGAGCCACAGCACCACTTCTGGTTTTCTGAGATAAGAGTCTCATTTACTTTCCTGCCCAGACTTGCTTTGAACCATGATCCTCAGATCTCAGCCTTCTGAGTAGCTAGGATTAAGGCATGAGCCACTAGCACCTGGTCTATTTTATTGTTACTAAAATGAATCCTGCTAATAAAACTTTGTTCTTGTGATACTCTCCTGTAAGATACCTTAAAATTCTTTTCATGTGTTGACCTAAAGTATTTTTTTCCACTTAAAAATGATCTTTATAGCCGGGCGCTGGTGGCTCACACCTGTAATCCTAGCTACTCAGGAGGCTGAGATCTGAGGGTCTCGGTTCAAATCCAGTCTGGGCAGGAAAGTCCAAGAAACTCTTATCTCCAATAAACTACCAGAAAACTGGAAGTGGCGCTGTAGCTCAAGTGGTAGAGCGCTCGCCTTGAGCTGAAGAGCTGAGGGACAGCACTCAGGCCCAGAGTTCAAACCCCACAACCAACCAAAAAAAAAAATTATCTTTAAGTAATTTGTACAAAGGAGTTGCCATTGAACAAAGAGTTTATAAATAATAATATATCTTGATCATTTTGCATGGATACTTGGAAGTTGAAGGAGTCCTCTTACCCCTCATCTAGGGACTCCATTACAAAAGGCTGTCAACCAAAGTATTAGGTGACATTACTCTCAAGCCTGATTTTTAACATTCTAACCGGTGTTTGAGTCTACTTTTCTCCAGCTGCTTCTTGATGCTAGTCTCTTAAAGCACTATCACACAGATCCCACTCCCATTTTCTTCCACTCTTTCCACTTACAGCTCTCAAAGACCTGCAGCTGTTTCCACTCTCTCCTGTATGATCTGTAAATTTATGATGATTAAAAAGCTGGTTGGGCTTATGGAGTTTCCTATCATCCCTTCTAAGGTCAGGCCTATTTTCACATTTCTGAGGGTGGGAACTTTATGCACTGGACCAAGGTAGGGCAGAAGGGCTTGTGAGGATAATATATAGAATAAAACTACAAAGCAGTGTGTTAAAATGTACTTGAAAGTAAGACTGTGACTCTATATCCCTAATTTGGAAGACAGGTCAGGAGGACAGAACAAATGTGTTCTGAACTTTTTTTTTTTCTTTTGCCAGTCCTGGGGCTTGGACTCTGGGCCTGGGCACTGTTCCTGAGCTTCTTTTACTGAAGGCTAGTGCTCTATTACTTGAACCACAGCTCCACTTCTGGCTTCTTTGAGTAGTTTATTGGAGATAAGAGTCTCATGGACTCTCCTGCCTTGGCTGGCCTTGAAGCATGATCCTCAGATCTCAGCCTCCTGAGTAGCTAGGATTACAGGTGTGAGCCATCAGTGCCTGGCTCCAATCTTTCTTTACCTGAATATACACACACACACATATACACACATAAAATGGGCTTATGAAAGACTATTACGTGATTGGATTCAGCATAAGTTCTGGATACTTTGCAAGTTTTAGGTGCTACTTGTTAAGTTTGTGAAATTGCTCTGCCCTAGCAATGTATGTAGTATAGAAACAAATAATGCTATATTCTCTACAGCTGAAAACCATTTGACAAAGACGTCAAAATATTTTTTAAGTATAGAAAATGAAGTTAAATCTATTCTTAGTAGACCATATTACAAAAGGAGGTGATAATTCAGGAAAGGATGTAGCTGCTCCATGAAGTCTTCCAAGGGGGGGTGGGGGAGGGAGGAGAGAGAGAGAGGGAGAGGGAGAGAGGGAGAGGGAGAGAGGGAGAGAGAGAGAGAGAGAGAGAGAGAGAGAGAGAGAGAGAGTGAGAGAGAGAGAGAGAGAGAGTGTGTGTGTGTGTGTGTGTGTGTGTGTGTGTGTGTGTGTGTGTGTGTGTGTGTGTGTGTGTGTGTGTGTGTGTGTGTGTGTGTGTGTGTGTGTGTGTGTGTGTGTGTGTGTGTGTGTGTGTGTGTGTGTGTGTGTGTGTGTGTGTGTGTGTGTGTGTGTGTGTGTGTGTGTGTGTGTCCGTCCTGAACTCAGGGCTTGGGGCCTACTCAAGAAGCTTTTGTTCAAGGTGGCCTTCTACCACTTGAGCTCTACCTCTCCACTTCTCACTGACTTTCTTGCATGGCTTTGATCTATGATTCTCAGATCTCAGCCTCCTGAGTAGCTAGGATTACAGGCATCAGCCACCAGTGCATGGCTTCTCTCATTTTTTTAATTTTTTGTGGTTCTGAGATTTGAACTAGATTCTTGCACTTGCTAGGAAGGTGCAATACTGCTGAGCTACACCTCCTGTCAAGAAATAGAAATGTTAGTAGATTCTCTCAAGGTTACAAGTACTTATCTTTTGCTTTTTAAACTTGTATTCCTAAATCTATGTATCAGACAGACTGCTAATCCAAGTGGCATAATATCTACTAGAAATAACACTAAAATTGATTGTTTCCTGATCTTTGAATTAAAAGTAATTTTATTTTTCTTATTTACTAGGTTTTCAAAACTGTCTAGAATGACTATGCATATTTTACACTAAATTATAATTACTAAAGTCCCAGAAACAGAACTTTCCCTAAAAAAAGCACACAATAAAAGCAGGAATTAAAATGAACTATGCAACTTGTAGTCAGGGACAGGAGGAGGAAACTGAAGGAAAGTGAAGGAAGGGGTGACACTGTCTAAAAAGAAATGTACTTATTACCTGACTTATGAAAGAGTAACCCCTCTGTACAACGCCTTAATAACAATAAAATGTTATATATTTGTTATATATAATATATAATTATGTTATATATACATTATATGTAATATATAATATACATAGTTATATATAATTATATATTATATTACATATATGATATATGTATAATATATATTTATTATATATTAACATATGATTATATATTATATAACAATAATATATATTTAAAAATTCAGGAATTAAAATGACTTGGTAATCAAGAGGTAAGATAGAACTAGGTCCTGTAAACGCTTGCTCAAAAAGAGGTAAGACAGAAAAAATAGCTCCTGGATTTTTTTTTTTTGGTAATACTGGGGAATGTAACCAGGGCCTCATATATTCCAGGAAAGCCTGTACTACTTGAGCCATAGTCTCAGCCCTTTCATTTTGTGTTGTTTCAGTAACTGTGGTATTTTGTCCTAGATTTTACCTGCACTAGTTTCTAAATTGTGATCTGTATTCCAAGAAGCTGGGATTACAGGTATGTACTGCCATGAGTAGGTTCCTGTTTTCTTTGGTAGTGGATACTATACTATAAAGCACACCAGGCAGAGTAATCACAGAACATTTGAAATCTAAGTCTGAATTTTCTTATCTATGTAACGAAGATAGTAACTAAGTACCTCATAAGGTTATAAAAGAATAAGAAAGACCAGTATCTTTAAAAATAAGACTTAGGAGAGTGCCTATCTGTTCAGAGCTCTCAAAAGCAAAAAGAGAATAAAAATTGTTACCTTTGGATTAAAATATCTACAAGATTGTGGTTGGGAGCCTCCAAACAAAGCTATGCGGTAATCATGTTTTTTTCTTCGAGGCCTTGTTCCATCTACAAGTTCTTCTCGGTCCTCTGGAGATAGTAGGTGATACCTCATCCCACCTGTAGAAAAATACATGCAACTTTTTAGGAACCTCAATCACTAATGGATGCTCTAAAAGGAAATTCTTAGACATCATACTCCATTAATTTCTGTACCTTTCTTGTGTTATTTCTCTACAGCATTTAGGAATGTGAGGAGGGAAAGAGGCTAGAGAAATATATTAAGTAATTGCTTCCTAACCAAGTTATTATTTGAGGCAACCAACATTCTAAGACCGTGTGACTCACTATGTAACTGAATTTACCTTGTTTCTCTACCAATAGCTGACAAGATAATAATTACTGAAATCCAGATTTCTTTTTTCTTTTTTTTTTGGTCCGGTAGTGGGGCCTGAACTCTGGGCCTGGGCGCTATCCCTCAGCTCTTCAGCTCAAGGCTCTACCACTTGAGCCACAGTGCCACTTCCGGTGTTTTTCTTTTTGCTTATGTGGTGCTGAGGAATCGAACCCAGGGCCTCATGCATGCAAGGCAAGCGCTCTACCACTGAGCCACCTTCCCAGCCCTGAAATCCAAATTTCTTAATTAAGTAGTTTTCAATCTTTTTATTTGGTCATGGTCTCCTATACATAATGTAACCTAGGCTGGCTTTGATCTTGCTACATAGTGCAAGTTGGCCTTGATCTTCTGATCCTTCTGCTCAGGCTTGTAAGTGTTGGGATTATAGACATGTAGTACAATCGTCTCAATCCTGTGTATTTGAATCAACAAGGGAATACTGGAACTATTTATACCACAAACCAATTAAAATATCTAGTGATAGAGACTAGACCTTGGCATTTTAGAGTTTTTAAATACTTGCCATTTAAAGAATAGTTTAAAGAGTAGAAGCTTCAACATCTGGGAGTTCATTAGAAATGCCAAATCCCAGGCCCTACTTAACAAAATTCCAAGGTAATTCAGATATACATAAAACTTTGTGAAGCACTATCTGAGACAGCTCTCAAATGTCATGGGGATTCGGAACTTCTGTGACCTAACATGACTCTCTTCCTTTAGCACTTCTTTAATTTAGCCACAGACCACTTAAAAATAATAAAAAAAAAAACTGTAGCCTGGAAAAAAGGAGTCCCTGAAAAAAAAGGGACCATTAAAAAACTTTCAGACAAGTATGTATTTGGGGTTGCAGGCATGGTTCAGGTATAGTAGAGTGCCAGCCAATGAGTGAAGGAATCAGAAATGGGGTTTTAGTCCTGGTCTCAGCCAAATAAACAAATAAATAAAAGTATATTAAATTGTAATTTAAGACACTGCATGGCAAAAACAATGGAATCAAAATACAGTGACAAAGTTAGGAAAAGTTTTATATATATCATATATACACACACACACACAATTTTGTTCCAATTTTAGTATATGTGCTGCCAAAGCAAACACACACACAATTTTGTAAGGATATCCAATTAATAAGATTAAAGCAACCAATTTAACAGTAAATTAGGAATCTGAATATAGTCCACAGAAAAAAAATATAATTTTAAACTTATGAAAACATATTTAACTGCACTGCTTAAGAGAAATAAAAATTAAAACTATACTTTTTTTTCACCTACCATACTAGCCAAGATTAACTGTTCTGTGTTGTGGGTGAGCAGTATCTTCTGCTGCTCTGGGGTATGGGTGGTTATAAACATCTTGAGGGGGCCATAACCATTGGAAGGATATAGTGAGACACAATAAAATCACAAATGTACATACCACCCTTTAGCCCAGGAATCCCCTAATGTTCATGTTAGGAAAAGTGGTTGAAAAGTATGGTATATCTACATAATAGAATATTATATTGTCTGTTATGAAGAACAGGAAAGGTTAATGCACACATGAAATGACATCCATGAAATGGTATGGGATGAAAAAACAAAGTCTGATGTAGAAGGCTACAAAATGTAATACCATTTGTTTTAAAATGTATGTTTTCACAGTAACATATTTCATTATATATAGTTTATATGTGTACATGATATAGTAATTTCAAAGCTATGTCAGGAAGACTATCTAGGATATGTGTGTGTGTAAAGTAACCTATGTAAGGGAATGTAATATAGGGACCAGGGATATCAGAAAGACCTTTCCATAATATATTCTTTTATGATTTTTTGAATTGTGCATGATGTACAGTATTATTTAAAAGAAAGATTATAGCTGAGTGCTGGTGACTCTTGCCTATAATCCTAGCTGAGACCTGGATAATCTCTGTTCAAAGTCAACCTGGGCAGAAAAAGTCATAAAAACTACATTTCCAATTAATCAGTAAAATGATAAAATGGGTAGAGTGACATCCCTTAACAAGAAAGCTGAGCAAGAGTTGAAGGCCCAGAGTTCAAGCCTCAGTACTAGCTATCAATCAAATTATGGGAGAAATAAATAAAACGTGATCCTACTTTTATAAATGAAGTTGTGTTAAGCCTTTACAAAAGAGATAGATATGCTTGGAGGCATGTTTGTGAATGAAAGAAAATAATTATAAATATTTAGTATTTCATTTCACTGCAGAGAAGCACTTTTTCATAAGAGTAATTAGAGGCCAGGCATTGGTGGCTCACACTTGTAATATTTGCATTTTGTTTGCATACTGTTTTTGAGAGTTTCCCTAACTTTGTCCAAGGTTACTGGAACTTATTATCCTCCTGCTACGTCTATCTCCAGAGTATAGGAGTGTACCATTATGCTCCGCTACATTTGGCAATTATGAACTCGAGACAAAAACTACAAAAGCTGCTTAAGAAACAAAATGTGAGCCAAGTTCACACACCTTAATTCTAGCTACTTAGGAGGCTGAGATCTGAGGGTCATGGTTGGATGCCAGTGCATGCAATTAAGTCCATGAGACTCTTATTACCAACTATCCCCCAAAAAGCTGCAAGTGGAGCTGTGGCTCAAGTGGCAGAGTGCGTAGTCTTGAGCAAAAAAGCTTGGAGACAGTGTCCAGGCCCTGAGTTCAAGCTCCAGGACACTATTTGGTTCAGTGAAAAAGGAAACACTAGAAACAAAGGGCATGAAATCAATTGTATACACAAGTAGGAAAAGAAGAAACAGTTTTCATCTTGTCACATAAATCAAATATTTCAATAAATTCCAAACATTTCAATATTTAGGAGAATGAGAAACTCAAGAGATTAACTTTCTAGGAAGATGACAAAAGTCTTTACATATCTCCTTGGCTACTAAGTCTAATCCATTCCAAAAGGTTTTAAGCAACTGGACACATGATCAGGATATAAATGGTTATGAAGAGAACTTACTTATCACCATCTTCAGGCATTCAGGATTATCTTGTATAAGTGGTTCAGCTTGTACTGTTTTACTTAAGAAATTCTTTGATATAAGAGGAAACCTGACTTTAGCAAGGATATCAACCATAAATGGCTGGCGATTAGGTTCATCATATTTCAACCATCTGACTGCAGCATCATAAACCTAAAGAAGAAAAATAGCTTAGTAAAGTTCTTGGTTGGCAGCCACATTTCAATTACCTATGTTTACTCTCATATTGAAGAGGGAAAACCTTATCAGGAGACAATATTTCTCTCTAATATTTTCCTGACTATATTTCATAAGTTTATTGACTCATCTGTAGTATCATAGGTTACCTATTTTCTAGATGTAACTACTAAATAATGTAACTGAGATGATGTTAAGTAGATGGGTTAAAAAATAACAATTCAGCTTCCTTTCTGAAAGTACATTCACCTGAAAGAAGTCTATTGTTCAGTGATATTTCCAATGTATAGTCAGTACCAGGAAAACAAGTTTATCAAGAAGGCTTCTACCCAGGAGATATAAAGATCTTCCATGATTAATTTCAACTAATACACTGCAATTGTCTACTTTCTAGTAAATTTTAAAATATAAAATTCTATACTTAATAAATTATTTATATAGGAATTGTTTTCCGAAATATTGTAGCATTAATTTAACTGCACTGAACAAATTCATTAATGTGCTTTAATTTACAAATTCTTAAGCATATTAAAAATAATTTAATATATATATTTCATTTACCACTTTATGTTTGAGCTAGCTAATTAATTAGACGGTATTAATAAAGCCCAAGTCATTTCTGATATTCTTATGAGTTGAATTGTTACTTTTATTAAAGGACTTTAAATCAGTTTTAGATTTACAGTAAAATTGCAAAGATAATACAGACTTCTGATATATAGCACTTTACACCCAGTTCTTGGTACCTTCAGTATGATACATGAGCTCTAAGAACAATCACTGATACCTGAAAATCCATCTATACATTTTTTAATCTCTTTACTTTTTAACTAATGTTATTTTTCTATCTTATGATCCCATAAAAATACCACATAATAAGGTGCTGGTGGCTCATACTTGTAATATTAGCTACTCAGGAGGTTGAGATATAAGGATCATGTTTCATAGCCAATCTGGGCAAGAAAGTACATGGGACTCTTATATTCAATTAATCACCCAAAACATAGAAATGAAGCAGCAGCTCCAGTGGTAGAGCAGTATCCTTGAGTAAATAAAGCTCAGAGACAGTACCCAGGCCCTGAGTTCAAGTCTCAGGACTGGTGCCAACAAACAAACATACATTAGCTTGTTTGTTTGTAACAAACTAACAAATACTAGTTAGTTGCATTTATTAACTAGGTCACCTTAGGCTTTTCTAGTAAATGACAGTATTTCAGACTTTTCTTATCTTTGATGATCGTAACAGTTTTGAGTTCCAGTCAGGTATTTGAGAGAATGTCTCTCAATTTGAGTTTGTACCATGCTTTATTCATTCAACTAGCTTTTTTGTGTTTTGGTAGGACCAACACAAAGGTGATATGGTATTATAACTATATCAAGAGCACATGTCATCAATATAATTTATTACTGATGTTAACTTGGACTACCTGCAGATAATATTTGTCAGGTTTCTCCAATACAAAACTACTTTTCCTTTCCTTGCATAGAAACCAGTTAATTTTGTAATCATTGCTTTATTTTTTTTTGGACAAAGGGTCTCACTTTATTGCTCAAACTGGTCTTGACCTCTTTAGCCCAAGTGATCCTCCTACCTTACACTTCAGGGTACCTGAGATGCCTGAGATACAGACCCAAGTTTTTTGTCTTTTTTTTTTTTTCCTGAGCTTGTCCTGGGGCTTGAACTCAGGGCCTGGGCACTGACCCTGAGCTTTTTCACTCAAGGCTAGCACGCTACCATTTGAGTCACAGCTCCACTTCTGACTTTTCGCTAGTTAACTGATAATGTCTCATGGACTTTCCTGTTGGGCTAGCTTTGAACTGTGATCCTCAGATTTTAGCCTTCTGAGTAGTAAAGATTACAGGTACAAGCCACTGGTACCTGGCTAGAGCTGAGTTTTTTGTTTTTATTTACAAAAATTAATAGATCTTCTATGCTCAGTCAATTTGCAAATAGATACTATAAGCCTTGAAGAGGACAGGGCAAAAGAATATAGCTTAGTGTAAACTTTTATTTTTAGAACAAAAGCAACTCAAAAAATGTGACCTCATCATTTAGTTTCTAATGCTGCTATTAAGAAATTTTTACCACAAATTTAGTGGCTTAAAACACAGTGAAGGATATGGGGCTGAAAATAAAGATTAAGTCTGTTTATCAAAGTATTCCCTAACTCAGTACCCAAATATCCTGTAGCTCACAGTTCTCACAATTTGCCTGACAGTTCTAGAAGACACAGTGTCAAACAGGTTGTACAGGACTAAAATCAAGGTATGGGAGAGCTACCTGGAGGCTCTATAGGATGAACAATTTCCTTACCTTTTGCGACATCTAACATCTGCCTTCATTTCTTGGCTTGTAGCCTCCCTCCATTTTCAAAGTGAGTAATGGCTGGTCCACTCTTTTGTATACTGTGTATCTTTGAACATTTAAGGATCTTTGTAACTGTATTCGATCTACCTGACTCCCTAATTCCAAGATCCTTTAGGGGTTAGGTATTTGGGGATAGGCATTTTTCTGCATTCCATGGAACCTAGTAGTTTCCTCTCTGTCAAGTGATTAATTTCTCAAATAGCCTGTCCTTATAAAAACTGTGGAGATTCATAGGATTTGGAATCCAGTATTATTGTAAAGAATATATATTCTCTCCTAATATGGCACTTTTCATTAGGTATCTAAATATCAGATATAAAAATTTCCTCATTGATTTCTAAGCAAAATGTGAGAAGGCAATTTAGTCACCTGATCCTCTGCCCTCACAGTGAGAGTGTCCTGGTTGAGCAGATGGGTTACTCGTTTTACATCAAGTTGCAGAAATTCATCAGTTTTGTAAACTTCAGTAAAATGCTGATGAATAAAGTCATCTGCTGTTGCTTTCAGTTCAGGACAATCCAGACACTCTGCAAGCACACTTATACCTAAAAAATGGGAAAAAAAACAAAAACACAAGAGAACAGAAAATTATTTTTAAAAAACCAAAAATATACTAGCACTTGGGAGGAGGAAGAAGGAAAACTGTGAGTTCAAGGCCATCCTGAGCTGCTGTCTGTCTGTCTATAATATATATTCTCTCCTAAAAAGGGAAACCAAACCAAACCAAAAACAAAATAAGGGGCTTAGTTGGTAGAGTGGTAGCCAATAAGTGAAAACATCAGGTACTGAGTTCGAGTCCCAGTCTGCCTAAAACCAAAACAAAACCAACAAAAAACAAACTAAGTAAATATACATCAAAAATAAAAGCATGACTTCAGGAAAATTTTATAGAATTTGAAAAATCTTAACTCTTTTCAGTTCCAATGATATATCTATTTTTGTACCAATATAGACTGTCTTATACTTGATTTTGATATTCAAAGAGCAAGCAAGGGCTTGACTTTATTTGGATATCACTAAGTATTTTCTCTAATACATTTAAAATTTAAAAGTTCTAGTGCTATTTCAACTAGGATAGATTTAGACTTTTGGATTACTCTGAGGATAGGTGACTTTTGAAACATGGAAGAGCTTCATTTAAGGCGACATACATGTAAAGCATACAGTTCAAGCTCCAGTATAGCAAAAACAAACATATAACTTATTTCAAATTCCTTTCGACAAAACTTATTCATACCATTTAGATTTTGGTACAACTTTTAATGTAAACATAATATAAATACACCATTATTAAACACAAAATTTTCTTTATATAAGCCTTACATACTTTCCCTTCCGTCTTTTCCTATTTTACTTTTTGCTTTAGAGAGAGCTTCTGCCCAAATTGGTTTCTTACATTCCACAACAGGAGTCAAAGTATTGTCCATAGGCCAAATCCTTCCTACACACAGTTTCTCTCCTTAGAGGCAGGTAAGTTCTCCCTGTTTCCCTTTTTAAATGTTTGTTTAAAAAAAAAAAAAAAAGGAAGGGAAGAAGAGGGAAAGTTAGGGAAGTAGAGAGAAGTAATACATCTGGCCTACAAAACCTGATATTTGCTATCTACAGACACTTCACAGAAAATTGTAGCAATCCCTCCTCTACAAAGAAAGATGAAAACACTGATTTTCTTTAAAAAATATAATCCTGTGGCATGCTTTCTAAGTATTTTTTTCATGTTTCAAGTTTAAGTTTATGAATAACTCTTCCCCCTGCCTCCACTTCCAAAGATGGGTGCTTACTTTACCTATTCTTTTAAAAAAATTTTTTTGTGCTGGTCCTAGGGCTTGAACTCAGGATGTGGGCACTGTCCCTGAGATTCTTTTATCTCAAGGCTAGTCCTCTGCTGCTTGAGCCACAGTGTGACTTCCAGCTTTTTCTAAGTATTAGAGATAACAGTCTCAAGGGCTTACCTGCCATGGCTACCTTTGAACTGCAATCCTTAGATCTCAGCTTCCTGAGTAGCTAAGATTACAGGCATGAGCTACCAGTACCTGGCTTACTTAACCTACTCCTGTGGTATGTCCTATGTTGCATACTGAACCTCCTTTCTCTGCCCTTTACATTTTGTTGTTGTTTTTCTATGGCTTGAACTTAGGGCTTTGAGCTCTTATTTGGCTTTTTGCCTTAAAACTGGCATTTTACCATCTGAGACACAGCTCTACTTCTGGCTATTTGCTAGTTAATTGGAGATGAGTCTAACAGATTTTTCTGCTGAGGTTGGCATCATACTATAGCCCTCAGATTTCAGCCTCCTGAGTGACTAGGATTATAAACATGAGCCACTAGTGCCCAGTCCACCAGTCCCTTTATTTGCATATAGAGATGAGTAGCTGGATATGACATCTGACCTTAGAGTTTGAGCCAGGAGCCTAAAACTTTAGTTTTAGGTCAATCCCTAGCATAAAAAAAAAAAAAGATAAAAATTTTCTTTTTTAAAAACTGTTATTAACTTATTGAGTTTATTAGTCTCGAATAAAGCACATAGCTATGACTACGGCCATTTAAGCCCTGTTTATTGGCTAAACTAATTGGCAATTTTAAAAATATTTTTTATTGTAAAGACTGTACAGAGGGGTTACAGTTACATGAGTAAGGTAGTGAGTACATTTCCTATCGAGCATTTTTACCCCCTCCTTTGTTTTTCCTCTACCATCCCTCCCTCTCCACCTCCAAATCCCCCTCATCCCCCCCACCCCTGCCAAAGTTGTAAAGTTCATTTTCAACATACTGTCTTGTACATTTCATTGTTACAATGGGTCAACCTGTATGCTTATTTCAGAATTTTGGTATTTCCCTTCCCCTCCCCAAATTAGAAAAATGTATATACAAGATGCCAGGCATGGGAATCGAATACAATGAAAACAGGGGTTATACCATGGGGGAAGACATACAAAAGAAACAAAAAGAATCACATAGTACATTTTAGATATGTTAAAAACAATAGCAAGGAAAAAAAAAGTTGTGTCCCTATCCTGGGGTTCATTTTGCTTAGCATCATCTTATATGGTCATATGTACATAGCTTTTGACCTTTTCTGCTTGTCCTAGACATATACTAGTTATTGCAAACCTATATTTCTTTGGGCCTGGCTTACTTCACTTAGTATAATTTTTTCCAAGTCTTTCCATGTCCTAACAAATGGGGCAGTGTCATTCTTTCTGATGGATGCATAAAATTCCATTGTATAAATATACCACATTTTCTTGATGCATTCATCTACTGAGGGGCATCTGGGTTGGTTGCATATCTTAGCTATGGTGAATAATGCTGTGATAAATATAGTTGTGGTGGTAGCTTTAGTATGGCCTTGTTTGTGATCATTTGGGTAAATGCCCAGAAGTGGAATTGCTGGGCTATAGGGGAGCTCTATGTGTAGTCTTTTGAGGAACCCCCATACTGCTTTCCAAAGTGGTTGAACAAGTTTACACTCCCACCAATAATGCAGTAGGGTTCCCTTTTGGGCACATCCCCTCCAGCATCTGTTGTTATTAGATTTCTTGATCATATCCACTCTAACTGGGGTGAGATGGAATCTTAATATTGTTTTGATTTGCATTTCTTTTATGGCTAGAAAAATTGAACATTTCTTCATGTGTCTATTGGACATTCTTATTTCTTTTTCAGAGAAGTCTCTCTTTAAGTCTTTAGCCCACTTATTAATTGGGAGATTGTTTCTTTGAGGATTAGTTGTTGGGGGATTTAACTTTTTGAGTTCTAAATATATTTTATTTTATTTTTTGTCGGGCAACCTGTATCCTTATTTCAGCATTTTGTTATTTTCCTTCCCCTCCTCAAATTAGAAAAATGTATATACAAGATGCAAGGCACTGACATCAAATACAGTGAAAATGGGTTATACCATGGGGGAAGAACATACAAGAGAAACATAAAAATCACACTGTACATTTTAAATACGTTAAAAACAATAACAATTAAGAAAAAACCACTTGTGTCCCTATCTTGGGACACTTAGCATCATCTTATATGGTCATATGTACATAGCTTTTGACTATTTCTGCTTGTCATAGACTTACACTAGTTACTGCAAATAAGGGACACCATGGGACTTATGTTTCTTTGGGCCTGGCTTACTTCACTTAATATAGTTTTTTCCAAGTCTTTCCATTTCCTAACAAATGGGGCAATGTCATTCTTTCTGATGGAGGCATAGAATTCCATTGTATAAATAGACCACATTTTCTTGATCCATTCATCTATTAAGGGGTCTATTTAGATATAAGACCCTTGTCTGTTGTATGGCTAGTGAAGATCTTCTCCAAATCTGTGGGCTTTCTATTGATCTTGCTGGGCTATGTCTTTTGCCATGCAGAAGCTCTGCAGTTTCATGCAATCCCATTTGTCCAACCTTTATTTGTTGTGTTTCTAGGTCTTCATTAAGAAAATTTTGGCCTGTGCCAAGGAGCCCTAGATATTTCTCCTATTCCTTCCTGTAATATTTTCAGGGTGTCTGCTTTTACTTTGAGGTCTTTGATCCATTTGGAGTTGATTCTGGTGCAGGGTGATATATAAGGATCTAGTTTTAGTTTTCTTTTAGCTTTAGTTTTCTATAGGTGTTTAACCAATTTTGCCAGCACCATTTACTGAAGAGGCTGTCTTTCTTCCATTCTATTTTTTTTAGCTCCCTTATCGAAGATTAAGTGGCTATAGGTCTGTGGGTTCATTTCTGGATCTTCAGTTCTATTCCACTGGTCTTCTATTCCCGGTCTGTTCTTGTGCCAGTACCAAGCTGTTTTGATTACTATGGCTTTGTAGTAGAGTCTGAAACTTGGTATTGATATTCTTCCAACACTGTTCTTTCTGCTAAGGATTGGTTTTTCTATTCAGGGTGTTTTATTGTTCCCTATGAATTTTTGGGTTGCTTCTTCTATTTCACTGAAGAATGAGGTTGGAATATTGATAGGTATCACACTGAATATGTAGCTAGCCTTTAGCAGTATTGCCATTTTCATGATGTTGATCCTTCCAATCCAGGAGTATGGGAGGTTTTTCCACTTCCTTCATTCTCCTTTAATTCCCCTGTTCAGGTTTTTAAAGTTTTCATTACAGAGGTCCCTCACTTCTTTAGTTAACTCTCAGGTATCTTCTTTTTTTGTGGGGCTATTACAAAAGGAGTTGCTTTCTCAATTTCAGTCACACTCTTCTTATTATTGGCATACAGAAAAGCCATTGATTTTTGAGGGTTAATTTTATACCCTGCTACTTTGCCCAAGTTCCAGATCAGCTCGAGTAACTTGGTAGTGGAATCCATGGGGTTCTTTAAATACAAGATCATGTCATCAGCAAAGAGGGAGAGTTTTACTTCATCTTTCCCTATTTGGATCCCCTTTATGTTTGCATCTTACCTTGTCTTATTGCTCTAGCTCAGCATTCCAAAACTAAATTGAAGAGACATGGAGAGAGTGGACATCCTTGTCACATTCCTGAATTTAAAGGAAATGGCTTTAGCTTTTCACCATTAAGTATAATGCTGGCTGTAGGTTTGTCATATACAGCCTTTATTATATTGAGAAATGTTCCATGGATTACTAGTTTTTCCAGAACTTTCATCATAAAGGGGTGTTAGATCTTGTCGAACGCTTTTTCTGCATCTATTGAGATAATCATGTGGTTCTTATCCTTGCTCTTGTTGATGTGATGAGTTATATTGATTTGCGTAGATTGAACCAGCTTTGCATCCCTGAAATGAATTCTGTTTTGATTGTGGTATATGATCTTTTTGTTGAGTTGTTAAGGTCGATTGGCCAAAATTTTGTTGAGAAGTTTTGCATTGATGTTCATGAAAGAAATGGGTCTATAGTTCTTATTTGTTTTTCCTTTTTTTTTTTTTTTTTTGGTCGGTCATGGGGCTTGAACTCTGGGCCAGAACACTGTCCCTCAGCAATTCAGCTCAAGGATAGCACTCTACCATTTGAGCTACAGTGCTACTTCTGGTTTTCTGGTGTTTTACTGGAGATAAAGAGTTTCATGGACTTTTCTGCCCGGGATGGCTTTGAACTGTGATCCTCAGATCTCAGCCTCCTGCGTAGCTAGGATTATAGGCATGAGCTACCAGCGTCTTTCTCTTTGTTTGATACATCCCTGCCTGGTTTTGGGATGAGGGTTATGATGGCTTAAGAGTTTGGTAGTGAACTCTGACTTTCAATTTCATTGAAGAGTTGGAGGAGTATTGACGTGAGTTTTGCTTTGAAGGACTTATAGAATTCAGCTGTAAATCTATCCGGTCCTAGGCTTTTGTTGGGTGGGAGGTCTCTTATTGCTATTTTGATGCTTGATATGGGTCTGTTAAGTTGATTTAACTCACCTTGGTTTAGTTTGGGCATGTCAATCTTTGCTAGAAATTTTTTCATTTCTTCCAGATTCTCAAACTTATTAGCATAAAGGTTTGAGAATTATTCCCTTATAATGTTCTGAATCTTGGTTGTTTCTGTGATGATGTTTCCATTCGCAGCTCTGAATTTATTTGGGTGTGTTCTCTCCTTTTCCTGATCAGATTTGCTAAGGGTCTGTCAATTTTGTTAATTTTTTTGAAGAATCAACTCTGTTTTGTTGTTTCTTTCAATGGTGTTTGTGGACTCTAATTCATTTAATTTTAATTATTTGTTTCCATCTACTGGATTGGGGTTTAGCTTGTTGCTCTTTTTCTGAAGACAAAAATTTTCTAAATAATTCTTCAGTTAAATTTCCAAGTGCTGAGAAAGGGACTGGAGAAAACAGATGTCCCCTTATGGTAAATTTCTACTTTTATTACACTGTACTTAAAGGATGGGGCCTGTTTCTCTTGTTTTCTAAGGAGCTCCAGATTTTCTGTTGCTGGTGACAAGAACTTGTAAGTACTCCAAGTAAATATGAAAAGAGTTTGTATTCTCTCATCACAGGGTAAGACATTACATAATTATCCAAAAATTTTGTTATTCAAAACTTTTCTACTTTTTCTAAGATTTTGCAATTTCTAAGTAATTCTTTAGCTGTTAGCAGCTCAATACAATTCCTTTCTATTTAAACCAGCAAGCTTATTTTGCTTGCAACTATGAACCAGAACAGTATTATCTTAAATTCTATCTTTCATTTGGTTGTAGTACTTCTTGAATTTTTTCTTAGTATTTTTTTAGAATGTATACATACATATATATCTGGTTATACATTTTCATTAATATCATAAATGAATAATATCTTAGAGCATAATTCTCTTGTATTTGCAAATCTTGTACTGTTACCTTATAATTTGGGGCTGCAGATTTTATTATTGTAATTCTGTGGGGCAAGTGGTAACTCTTTTAACCTGGGCTAGTTTGGCTCATTTCTATTGTCAATTGGTTGTCTGGATGGGGTGGACAGTTTAAACTAGCTTCATTCACATACCAGGTAATAGGCGTGATGGTTGGTCTTGGGGAGGTCAGTTAGAGCAACTCATCTGTGTCCTAACTAGACTAGCCTTCATGTTGTGGCAGCAAAACAGTTCATGGCAGTTAAAGTGGGCAATGCCCAATGCACATTTTCAAGGCTAAAGTAAGTCAAGAGGCAGCACCTAGATTATAAGGAGGGAAAACAGACTCCATTACTTAGGAACTACAAAATCACATTGCAAAAAGGTATATAGATAGGGAAGGCTATTAGACAGCCCTTCATCACTGTAAAAAAAAAACCAAAACCACCCAAAATAAAACAAACAAACAAACAAAAACCCTTGCTATCAATAACTTAAAGGAGAAAAGATTTTATAGGTCTAAAGTCTCAGAGGTTTCATTCCATTTTGTACAGTTACAATGTTAAGCCACCAACCTAAATGTAATTACCAATAACTGGAAATAAAAAAATATCACTAGGATATATGTAAGAAAGGAATACCTTAGTCCACTGATCAGGCCTGAGTATAACTTAGCCTAAAAGTTAATTTTTTCGGTCATGAAGCTTGAACTCAGGCCCTGGGGGCTGTCTGTGAGCTTTTTTGCACAAGCTAGTACTCTACCATTTTGAGCCACAGAACCATTTCTGATTTTCTGTGGGTCAATTGGAGATAAGAGTCTCATAGACTTTCCTGCTTGGTTTCACTTTGAACAGTGATCCTCAGATCTTAACCTCCTGAGTAGCTAGGATTACAGGCATGAACCACCAGTACAGAAGTAAAAACATATTTTTTTTTTTTTTTGGCAGTCGTGGGGCTTGAACTCTGGGCTTGGGTGCTGTCCCTGAGCTCTTCAGCTCAAGGCAAGCGCTCTACCACTTGAGCCACAGCACCACTTCCAGTTTTCTAGTGGTTTACTGGAGATAAGAGTGTCTCGGACTTTCCTGCCTGGGCTGGCTTTGAATTGCAATCCTCAGATCAAAGCCTCCTGAGTAGCTAGGATTACAGGCATGAGACATCAGCGCCCAGCAAAAGTTAATTTTTTTAAGCCAAAAAAGTTTGATTCTTCCTTTTCTTCCAACTGATTCTTTGGAAACTCCTATTTCTTCACATTAGTGTTCATGTCTTCCTCTCAAGTCTTCCATACTTTCACAAATGACTTTTTCTTTGCTATTTGTTTGGTATCATGAAGCAATGTTCCCTGTCTGATCTTCCTTAGTTTGAGTCTTGTATCTATTGTTTTTAATTTGATTGAAAGTCAAAAATATAAAATTATGAAGGTTTTCCTGTTCAAATGCATCCTTTCTTTTTCTTACATTGGAAATGTTCTTTCCATTTCTTACATGCATTTGTCAACAGGAGCCATTCTTTTAGGTTGTTTAGCATGATTTAGCATCAAACTACTAGGTTTCCCCAAGCTTTCTGTAAGTCTTGACTAATCTAATCACCAGAGAATTGATAAAAATTGCCATTTAAGAAATTCCATCAGTCTGTTCATTTGCATAGCTGTCTTCCTTCCTGCTTCATTTAGTCCAGTTCCTTTTTTCTGGACATTAGGACATTCTCAATTTTATCCCCTTTGCCTATATTTTATTATTTTTTCTGAAATTAATCTGCTTCCTTTTACTTGCTTTCTAGTTCCCCTCTGTGCCCACAGTGCCAGTGTGTGCAGAAAGGAACACCAAAATGTCCTAAAGGAGGAAGGTTTATCATTACATTTTTCTTTACTGAAAGACACAATGAAGAGTAAAACAAAACTAAATAAAAACCCCAAATCCGAATCTGGTATTTCTTACCAAGACAATTTGAAGCATCAACTTGTTCTTTCAAAAATTCAACACACATTTTCTTCACAGGTTCAATCTGGTACTGATTTGCTGCATCTAACAAAGACTGAACATTGTTGCTATTCACAGAAATCCTGCAAATAAGTTAAACAATATTAATTTCAAGTAATTTTTTATTAAATAATGCTATTGTAGAATCCTAGTAAGGTATGGGATTCGCAAACTCGTCCACCTTTATAGCTTTTCGTTCTGAAGAATTTGGAGCATTCTTTGCTATGGTATTATTACTCTTCTAAAACAGAAACAATCCTTAACTCACCTAGCAGTATAAGCAAATTCCACAAGTTGTTCAATAATGTCAGGTTCAGCATCTTTAAGTTCTACTTCAAAGGACTTCGACTCAAGCATGTTAGCTAAAATTGAAGTGGAGAAACAAAAATGGCATCAGGATCACCACAAATTTAATTGAGAAACCCACAGCATCTAAACTAGATTCAGTTTTTCCAATCTCAAAATAATTTAGTAGTACTCTTAAATTGTTACAAGCAAAATGCCTGATGTAGCTCCAACAAATTTATGAGAACAATGATTGCAAAAATATATGGAACAATGATATATTGCATGCAAAGCTGTTATTTCTTCTAGGAATTTTTGTAGGTAGCTAGAACACCAAAGAGAAAACTTCAGACAGGTATGTTATTTAACCTGATTAAGATCATATAACAGTACTAAGTAGAGGATCTAGAACATAGACCAAAATCTAGGTGTTGTGATCACTATAATATGCTATATTTCATTTTTCTTTCTTTTTAAAGTCTAACTTGCTAGATTGTATCTTTTTTTTTTTTTTAACTTGGAGTCCACCTAATTCTTAAAGAGAAAAGAAAAGCATTCTTTTTACCTTAAGATACTTACTGGTGAACATTAAGTTAAAGAAATGACTGGCTGCAGCGAGGACAACACGATGTGCAGGTATCTTTCTGTCCTGGACCATGAGGATTACATCACACAATGTTTTCTAATCAAAAAGGAAAATACTTAAATTAAAAAGGACTCACTAGGCCTAGTTGGCAATACATATAAAACAGTTGCTAACCACATCACTATTAACCAGTGTTTTTAACTTAATAAATCCCTTCTTTTTCCACCATAGAACTTGTTTTGAAGATACTCTGGAGGCAGTTGCTATCAAGTGGCACCAAAATCTGGATTAAACTTCCCAAAAGTCAGGGAGAAAATGTTCTTCATAGTTAAAAACAAAAAGGCTACTTCAAGGAAGCCAAAACTTTTTTTTCCTGGCACAAGGTCTAAGGAGTTTTTTTTTTCTTTTTCTTTTCTTTTTTTTTTTTGTTGGTCGTGGGGCTTGAACTCTGGGCTTGGGCGCTGTCCCTGAGCTCTTCAGCTCAAGGGGAGCACTCTACCTCTTGAGCCACAGCACCACTTCCAGTTTTCTAGTGGTTTATTGGAGGTAAGAGTCTCATGGACTTTCTGCTTGGGCTGGCTTTGAACCATGATCCTCAGATCTCAGCCTCCTGAGTAGCTAGGATTACAAGCGTGAGCCACCAGCACCGGGCTTGGTGGACTTTTCTGACAAAACCTAAATGACATAATAGCAGTACCTTTGACAATTTTTCAAACATAACAATTATTTTGTATCTATATAACCTTAATATGATATAAAACATATATAACATATACAACATTTCCCAAGAAAGTAGCCTTCAGAGATCTAAACTGAAATAGACATAATGCAGAATACACAGAGTAGATGAACTAACTGTCCTTTCATTAATCTTCCCTCAAATATCTCTTCTTTCAAACATGTCTAATGAAAACTGGATAGCATCGTCTCAAATCTGGTTTTCTGACCACAGCTAACGTGTTGTCACTTTAGGCTGCTGAAATAAGATAGGTCTAGAGTAAATAATCTAAGAAGTTGGAAAATTTCATTCATTCATTCTTTGGTATTACAAATTGAACTCAGACCCTTGAGCTTGCTAGGCAAGAATTCTACCACTAGAGTAACATCCCCCAGTCCTTGATTAAAATTTTTTTAAAGGATTATTGTAGCCCTTACAAATTAAAATAATTTTTTCAATAAAATACTTAATGAAGCTAAAGGTTAGACTTATTTGAGTGCCTACAAAGTATTAAAAAGCATTCTCCTAGGCACTGGAAATAGGAGGCATTAACAAATATACTGAAGAGTAAAACTGTCACTCATAAATCTAAATAAAGGCTCAGTAGCTCAGCAGGTATTACATATACAAATTTAACTATTTGATTAAATAGCAAGCATTTTACAGTACTACTTCATAGTTTTTAGATATTACTTGAAGATTTGTTAAAGGGCCATAGGCTAGCAGACTAATTTTTCTTTAAATCAAGAAACTTGAGGTTTGAAAGTAGAATAAATTTATAGGTACTAAAGATATTTATTCATATACTGTTTTGTAGAATGGTAACTTCTTTGTACAACTACTTAAAGATAACAATAAAAATATTAAAAAAGTATCTAGCGAGCTTTAAATGTAAGTAGTTCATTAATATACGTCCTCATCACCTCTTTTATCATTCTCCCCCATCCTTCCCAACATCTTTTCCTTCAATTTTCTGAATTTTGCAGATATGCATTAAATGTTATGATTTCATCCCCACCTCCTTTCCTCTCTTCATCGGTCAAGGTAAAAAGAGTAAGTTTCTATGAAATTGAAAGGAAAGCCATGAAAGTAGTATGACTCTCCAACTGGAGAGGGGCCCAAAGAGGAGTCTCTAATTTTTTTTTAAGGTATAAGTAAGTACATTTTAATCTAAGATTAATCTGTATGTACATATTAATGTTACTGTATGTGTGGGGATGAAGTAGGAAGGATCATTTGTGTCCAAATGGTACATTTATTTAACTATGCTGCAAGTCAGGACTCACCTATAATTTTACCTCTTACTAATGAAAGATGTATATTTTCACAGACAGACAGATACCCAGGTAGACTGGAGATATGAAATGTAACAATTCCTTGAAACTAGGGTAATATAACCTAAAACAACAAAAAGCATTAGCTTTGGAGCAGTACACGTTCACATATTAAACTTAAGGGGGAAAAACTTGCAATTCCTCTGTTCATGTCCTACCACATTTACTATATCTTTATTAATCTCAGGTTTTGAATTTTTATCTTTTATAAACAGCATAGGTTTATGTGACTACTATGGTTTGAATGTTTCCTCCAAATCTCAGTTGAAATTTAATTGCTATTTTAATTGATATTAAGAGGGTAGGCCCTTTAAAAGATGATTAGGTTATGAGGACTCTGCCCTCAGTTATTATGGAAGTGGTTTCCTGACAAAAAGGGTAAGGTTTGACAAGTTTCTTGTCTTTGCCTCTTGCCTTTCTGCCTTCTATCATGTTATAACAGAACATGAAGGCCATGGAGAAATACTGGTAACATGTTCTTGAACTTACCAGCCTCTAGAACCATGAATCAAATAAACTATTGTTTATAAATTACCTAGTTTGTGGTATTGTATTATACTACAGCAAAAAATAGACTAAGGTTGATTTTGAAGTTATCCCTATTTTTAGTAGGATTTAGTTTATTTATTTAAGTTTAATATAACATTTAGGTTTATATATGCCATCTTCTGTTATACTATTTATTATGCTTCTTTTTGTCTTCCTTCTTCTTTAGCAGACAGTTAAAATTCCAGTTGCTATTTAGTTGACATTTTCTTTGCACATTTTTCTTAGTTTATGGACTTCCACATCTGCCAAATATTTTCTAATTGCACCCAAAGTATATTAACCAAAAATGTTTAAATGTAAGATTTCCTGACATAGAAACAGAAGGACCAACTGCAAACACATCTTATAAAGCCAGCATTACATTCATACCAAAACCAAGTAGGGATCCAATGAAAAAAGAACTATGGACCAATCTCTCTGATGAACACAGATGCAAAGCTCTTCACTAAAGTACTTGCCAACAGAATTTGGCAACTAATCACAAGAATTATGCACTATGATCAGGTAGGTTTTATTCCAGAGATGGCAAGGCTGGTTTAATATATGTAAGTCAATAAAAGCAATGTATCACATCAATAAAGCCAAAGATAAGAATCACATAATTATCTCCATAGATGCAGAAAAAGCTTTTGGTAAAATTCAACATCCATACCCATTTAAAGCTCTGGAGAAGCTAAGATTAGAAAGAACCTACCTCAAAATAATAAAGGCTATATATGCCAGACCAACAGCCAACAACATACTAAATGGTGAAAAACTAAAACCATTTCCTTTAAAATCAGGAACAAGGCAAGGATGTCCATTCTTTTCACTTCTTTTCAATATAATTCTGGAGCTCTTACCTGGAGCAATTAGGCAAGAGAAAAACATAAAAAGAATATACATGGAGAGAGAAGTTAAACTATCCCCATCTGCAGGCATAATTTTTTGTTGTTGTTGTTGGTCATGGGACTTGAACTCAGGGCCTGAGCGCGCTGTCTCTGAGCTGTTTTGCTCAAGGCTAGTACTCTACAACTTGGAGCCACAGCGCCACTTCTGGATTTTTTTTCTGGTGGTTAATCAGGGATAAGTTTCATGGACTTTCCTTCCTGGGCAGGCTTTGAACCGTGATCCTCAGATCTCAACCTGCTGAGCAGCTAGAATTACAGGTATGAGGCAACAACACCTGGCTGCAGACATAATTTTTTAAAATTATTTTACTGTTATTATTATGGTGTGTACAGAGGGGTGACCATTTCACAAGTCAGGTAAGCAGTAGTTTTTTGTTTTTGTTTTTGATGGCACCCCTTCCTGAGAGGACATGGTTTTATATCTTGAGGACCTGGGAAACTCCATCACCAAGCTCCTAGAGCTGATCAATAACTTAGGTGAAGTAGCAGGATACAAAACTCAACCCACAGAAGTCAGTAGCCTTTCTGTGTACTAACAATCTCTCTCTCTCTCTCTCTCTCTCTCCACACACACACACACCGTATATATATATATATATATATATATATATATATATATATATATATATATATATGCACACATACACACACAAACATTTATGTCCAAATTAAAAGAGGAAGGAAGGTAAGTATTTTTATCTAAGCAATGTCAACTTTTTAAGATAGAAAGAAAAAGAAGCTATTTAGAAGCAGGTCCACTAGTCAGCAAAGGATGCCTGAAAGGGATAATAGATGCAAATAAATAGCCCATTTTGTTATAAATAGGTAAGAGAAACATCTGCTGCTGAGTTGGCAAGATAGGGAAAATTGAAATGCTAAAACAGTCAAACTGGCTCCTATGGAACCACAGACCTTAAAGAAATATGTTATTGGCCATTTTTCGGCTACACACAAATGAAGGTGAGAGAAAAGACTCCCCCAAACAGGATTCATAGATATGAGTAACTTCAGACCAGGATAGAATCATATGGCACAAAGATGAAGAACAATCAGGAGACTAAAACTGTAGAGAATGTAAGGCTGCAAATTGTGCTTTCCAGAATTGCCTGCAACTAATGTGGATCACTCTTCCTTCAAGCTCTGTCATTAGATAAGCCTTATTCAGCATTAGTTGTCAAGAACACAGGGTCCAAAAAGCAAGTTTAAATTAACCATAAATATATATGATGGACAATGGGGAGAAAAAGAAAACTGTACATGACCTAGTGGCTGATTCTATCACTCTGAAAATTTTCTAACATTTTGTGACCCTAAAAGAATTTGTTAGAGAAGCACAATATATATACATGTGGTCTTTACATAGAGGGTAAATAGTCCCACTAAGCTCCTGGTAGAGAATTCTTCCCAGCTGAGTTGAGTTTGACTATCAGTAAACCATAGATAGTAACATAGATGGCAACCTGTTAAGGCCAAAGCCAAGATTTGCTTTTCTCATTTTCTTTGATAACCATCTGTTAACAAGAAGTTTCTGTTCTGTTTTTGGCCAGAAATAACATGAGCTAGACTATATAATAATCTGTTAGTATTTGTGAAGTGTACTACAGA